AAGATGTGAAGAAACCAAACTACTCTAATATAGTCCCTATTACAGAAGAATTTGTTTATGTATCGATTTTGAGGACTTTAAAGTAGTTTTTTGAAGAATACAGAGCTATGTAATGCCTTTCTGCAGCTAAAGAACAAGTCCATGGTGTTTACAGGGATATTTGTGATGGGTCAACATTTCAATCAAATGAATATTCTCAAAAATCAAACTATGCTCTCCAAATTCCACTTTATTATGACGGGCGGCACGGTGGCTGAGTGAATAGCACTCTCGCCTCTCAGCAAGAAGGTCCTGGGTTCAAATTCAGATCGGAACAGGGCCTTTCTGAGTGGAGTTTGCATGTTCTTCCCGTGTCTGTGTAGGTTTCCTCCGGGTGCTCCGGTTTCCCCTACCACTAAAAATATGCTCAATAGGTAAAATCCTCCAGCTCTGGTATTCCTTATCAAGCCTATAGTATCATAGGCCAAGTATCGTTATCTAGAGATGGGTTCTAGAGATGGATGGCTAGTAGCTCACCACCACCGTGTGTGGGATCAATGGTTAGTGTGACGTGTTGCATGCAATAGGAAGCAGTATTTCAGATTGGATGCAACAGTTTGAGAGCACCAATAGCACTTTAGAGTCATGACAGGCCCTTTAAAATGCAAATTATTTGGCTCCAATAATAGGTTTGTGTAGTTTTCCTGCTATCAAGAGGATGTGGGTCCACAGGCCTGAGTTTTATCAGTTCCTGTTGACCCTGTGATCTTAAGGAACCTGCAAGACATTTTACAGGAGTGGGAGCTGTGCTGTGAAATTTGACTTTGAGTAAAATACAAATAAAAATTATATTAAACCAATCAATGTCTGTATACTCAACTTTTTTATTCAAAACTCCTGGGCTCACCAATGACGAAAATATTACCAACTTTTACCTTCCAAAAGTGACTCATTAAGTGGGTTTTGGTGAAGAATTGTTGGTGCAATGACAGCTTCATCATCAGTCATGTATTTTTACAGATTTACTTCTGAAACTTAGAGGAAACATAACTTTTCAGTGGTTTTGACCATGTTTCCTCTCGTCATTATTTCAAGCCAATTTGTTTTTTATCCACCAAAATTCTGTTCTTCAGTGGTGGTAGTTTTTTAGCGTGTTTTTTTTCCTCAAGAAAGAAAGAATTGCTGATCATGAAGCCCCAAGTGTTTAACACTTCATGATTCAATCACTTCTGTCATGTGGAGTGAAAAGCCCAAAATGCAAAACTCTAAAATAATGGTTTTACCAAAAAGTAAAACAAATCAAGATCTAGCAAAAGCATCACAAAAAGTCACCAAACCCTGAACAAGGAGAAGAACGGACACAGACGAGGAACGACAATGACAGAACAGGGAGTGAAGGAACACAAGGGGCTAAGTACAAGATTTTGCCACGAGCCTGGACACCACGTACATGCCTGTGCCCACGCAGCTGCCCACGCCCAGAGAAGTTTGAAGTTGAAATATTGTCTGTGTACCGAGTTTTTACAGTTAAATTGATAACAGCAGGATTGAAATATGAGAGAAAGTGATTTAGATAGAGCTTGGGGCGAGCCTTTTCTGTCTATTCTGTCTTTTTTTAGTAATGTTTCCACTGTTAAAGTAGCAATATGTAAGATTTCCAGATCATTAAAGGGGCCCTAATCTTCTTTAACCGATAACAGTAGTTCAGAGATATTTGGATTTCAAAAATTAGTTTTATCGCACCTAAATCTTGTTTTTGTTTTCATTTCGATGTCCCGCCCTCCACCGTTTCACCAATCAGAAAGTCTGAGATCCGGGTTGCCAGAACTCACCATGTCAAGCTAACATGTGGCCGCAGAACTAAAAAAGGTCTTGTTGTGATTCTCAAAAAAAACAAAAAATAAAACCAGGATTTCTATCTTTGTAAAACAAGGTGTTGGTTATAGATTTGTTGCTGACTAAAGTCTCAGTTATTATGGTCCCAGCTAGATTCGTCTGCATATCTGGCAACCTGAGTCAGGGAAAGTGCAGTACCACTTTTGGCCAGATTTTTACTTACTGTTCCTTTAAATATTGTTCAACTTGTGTTTTTGATCGTGACATTCCCAATAAAGCTATACGCCAACTCATGATCAACAGGTCAAATGGTGCATTTGTGGTCGCTAATAAAAACGGAAAGAAACTCTGATTGTTTTATTCTCTTTTTTACAAAACACACTTTCATCAGCACAAATGTACATCGTTTCAGTCCTCGCAACACTCCAACACATTCACTCCAATATCAAGTCAGATATCAGCGCTTTAATGTAGGATACTTTCAGAGGGTGGGAGTGCACGAAGGCGCGTTCACTTCAACTGGACCAACCCTGGTTAACAAGGATACACAGTCACAGGTCACTTAACTCTTTGACTGCCATTGATGTGTTTGTCTGAGACTGGTGATTTCTGTCAAACTTCCATCTATTCAACTTTTACAATTGTGGGTATTTGTCTCTCACTCCACACAGAGATGGGAGCGGGGCCAGTACAGGAGGCACAGGCCAGACCTATTGTACATGTTTTTAGTGGTAGGGGAAACCAGAGCACCTGGAGGAGCACGCAGACACAGGGAAAACATGGAAACTCCACTCAGAAAGGCACTTTCCGAGTGGGATTTGAACCCAGGACCTTATAGCTGATAAGCAAGAGTGCAATCCAGTCAGCCACCATACCATTCCAGGTTAAAGACTTCTGTCTTTAACTTCTGTTTGTCTGTGCATACAACTGAAGGATTTTATCTCCATTTCTAATGCACTGTTGTCATGTTTTTTTTTTTTTTTTTTTTTTTATTTGTTGTGTAATTTTGAAAGTTTTAATGGTTTTAATCTTTTGTGTGATTTTAATGTTTTAATTGTGTTTTAATCTTTTGTGTGATTTTAATGTTTTAATTATGATTCTGGTGTTTGTTTTATGTGATGATTTGTGATGTGGACTGTGAAGCGCTTTGTGTTGCCCTGTGTATGAAAGGCGCTCTACAAATAAACTTTGATTGATTGATTGATACTGCCCAAAAACATTTGAAATATTATTGTACATGTATGAACACTTTTTAACAACATCTTTGCTCCTGTATTTCTCACATCACAACAGTTTAATGTTTAAAGTTCCTGAGATCTCCTGAAAGCAGCATTGATCCTGTAACAGTGTGATGTCACTGTACCACTATGACTTCCCACTCGGAGCAGTTTCCTGTTTCAGTCCTTAAATAAGTTTTGACCATTTTTCTTGGGTGAAATGACGTTCTTAACAATCACATGTCTGCAGCCAGTCATTTTCAAATATGAAAATTCACACTTGAAATGTGTAAAAGTAAGGGTCTAATTCACTCTGCTTCACGTAAAACTATTCATGGAAATCATAGAAATCATCTTAACACTAGAACTCACAGAGTGTGACGGCTTTTATTTAGAAAACTTAAATACGATTTTGGTCTTTATAACTTTTGTGGCTTTTTCTTTATGTTTCTAAATGTAGTTTACTTCAATGTAATTATGATATGTTCATGACTCGATCCTGGACTGGTCCTGAACTGGTCCTAGACTACTCCAGGCACAGGCGTTGGACTGGGGGGGTAAAGGGTTCCGAGTACCCAGGGCCCAAGGGCAGGGAGGGGCCCTCTAAAGTGTGTCTATATATGTATTACGCATTAATGTATTAGGGGGCCCATCGAGTGTGTTTGTACCCAGGGCCCAGAATTTGGTGCTACCCCCCTGACTCCAGGACTGGTCCAGGACTGGTCCAGGACTGGTCCTAGACCGGTCCTAGACTGGTCTACTCCACCAGAGAGAGATAAAAGAGAGAGAGAGAGAGAGAGAGAGAGAGAGAGAGAGAGAGAGAGAGAGAGAGAGAGAGAGAGAGAGAGAGAGAGAGAGAGAGAGAGAGAGAGAGAGAGAACTAAAAGTAATTCCTTGCTGTTTATGCTTACATCGTTTGTATAACTGATCGATTATGACTAAAATAGATTATTGAAAAAAACTGTATGATTAGTTCCAATTAATCACTTACAAACTTTAGTCAGCCCTACTCCTTCTGTTTACTACTACTGCTGATATACACTTGCTTCTCCTTTATATATTTGTTTTTCTGTCATTTGTTTATACATGAGTTCAGAGTAAATTCATAAGCATCGTTACAAAACAGAGGTATTAATATAGTGTTATTCATTCATGCATTAAAAAAACTCGTGATGGGATTGTGCGTGAGCATGGCAAGCAAACAGTGACATCTACTGGACACACTGAGCACCGGCCTATAATTCTTGAATTATTGTAGGCATGTGACGTGGTGAACATTTTATTCAAACGTATTATAAAATCAGAGGAAATGCTTGACTAATTGCAAGGCAAACCCAACCCGTACAAAACACATGAATGAATTACTTTGGGAATTCAGCACCTTGGACAGAGCTGCAGCGTGATTGGACCAGACGCACATCCAGGATTATAGTAATCTCTCTATTGGTGTGGATCAATGTGACAAGCGCGCTGATTGGTAGTCTCTTCACCTCGCTTCCACACGGTGTCAAAAGAAATAGTGCAACAGTTTTATCTACGTTAACTTGATTTGCACCGCGATCATAGCCCACTGAGTGACTGAGTGAATCCCTGTAAAGCGATCCTATACAGGCGTTATAAAAGGCGAGTGGCTGCTCCATGTGCAAGGTAAGGAGCTTATGTTTGCTCTGAACCTCCTTAATACCTCTCTGTGCTTGAGTTCTGACTACACTATCTATGCATGCATGTAGAGCTGCCCTCGTGATTGTAATCTAGATCTATTGCACTGGAGCCTATCTTTGTTCATTCATCCTTGTGTAGTTGTCGTGACATTATTATGAGGGCACTTTCCCAAATTTGTTAATTGTTAATTGACATTCACCTATACTTTATTATCACAATAACCTTACAGTCATTCATGGGGAATAAAAAATGCATAATCTGCTTTTTGAAGGCTGAAAATCATCTTGGATCAACAAAACATTCCTAATGGCTGGTGAGTAAACTGTAAAAAGGCCTATGGAAAACAGATTACATTAGCTTGTATGCTAATTATGCATCTCAACTCTACTTTCCAGAACCAAACTTCCCTCCCCTTCCTGGGTTCATCCCAGTGAAACCCTGCTTCTATCAGGATTTTGAGGAGATCCCAGAACATCATCGCAGCCTGTGCAAGAAAATGTACCACCTGTGGATGTGTGAGTAGTGACTCAAGAGCAACTGTTTCTCATCTCCACAAAGCGACTAATGTATGACCACAGACAGAGCAGGCCCATTCAGCTTCAGCCCTGTGTGGAAATATAACCCACGCAAGTTTTACCAACCTAAATATTCATTCAGAACAAGGCTTATATATTTGTTGTATTTGAATAACTCTTGAAACATAAAAAAGGCCTCTGTGATAATTGGGAAGAAGATCAGAATTGTATATATATATATATATTTAATATTACATCTGTTTATAATCAATATTTGGTCTTTTCCAAACTAATGTTTCAAGTGAATCAATTCATAATTACAAATACGTATGTACTTGTTTTTCAAGCCGATTATCCAATTAGAGAGGAGACTTTCATTTGGGTTGCCGGTTTGTTGGGTGAAAATCAGCATACTGTATATACATTTAAACTGTGCCTAGGAGCATATGTGTCACAGGCAGTAAGCTTCTGGGAACAACATCTGAATTATATTTGCAATGACTTTAGTTAGACCACTACTAGCACATACTACACAGGTCCCTTTTTAGAATTGATTTTTTTTTAATGAAGTACTTGCATAAATTATTGTTTTGTGTCTTGCTTTAGTAAGTTATTTTCTCTCCACAGGGGTGTCCAGTAAATATATAGACATCATGAGGTATTCAGTTCTTCTGTAAGCTTCAGGATACTGTCTTGTACCTCTTTATCTTGTGTTTAATTTTCCATCTTGTCTTTTTCAGTCATTATTAGTTTTTGTTTGCAATGTTATGATTTACATTTTTCATCAACCTCTCCGCCTAAAGTGTAAAAATGTTTTAATGTCCATATGATTTCCTTTCCCCTTTTCTGCTCACACTGATTTGCGAGAATGCTTCATCGTTTTAACTTGCAGCCAAGTAATTTGTGCCATTGTGTAATATTCTGAGCCACATTCTTTGGAATAAACACTAAAAAGTATATCGTAAATACACACTTTGATTTCTTTGTTGGTTGCATTGCGTGTGTTGCAGTGAATACAGCGACACTTGCGGTGAACCTAATTGGCTGCTTCGCCTGGATGTTCGGTGGAGGCGGAGTCACAAACTTTGGCTTGGCCATCATCTGGCTCATCATGTTCACACCGTGCTCCTATGTGTGTTGGTTCAGAGCCATCTACAAAGCGTTCAAGTACGTTTACAGTGCTGTGCTACTTGGAATATTAGAATTCATGTTTCTGCTCTAGATACCACCTTCATCATAACATATACTGTAACAGCTAGACAGTATAATGTCATATGATAAATTAATAAAGAACAACCTCCTATATTGTAAACAAGTTTAAATAAATCATGAAATCAATGCAGAATCACAAAATAAATCCAAAATATACCCCCCCCCCCTCTACGTTTCAGCCATAATATAAACTTCACTATACTATAATACTTTTCCCTTTGGGCCACATTTTGGTCCGAAGGGAAAAAAAGAGAAAACACAATTACCTGATGCAGGCTATAATAGCTGAATTGTCATGGTATAAATAATATTTTTAATATTTACATTTTGAGTGTTCAATGCTTTTGTTGTTTAAAAAAAAATCCCTTTACCATTTGCACCATACCTCTTTAGTGTGTGGTTCCTACTCAAAATAAAACAATAGCCACAAAATGTGAGCTATAAACAAACTTTCCACAAACATAAAGACTGTTTGTCGTTTGGCCCCCAGGGAAAATATTTCCCTACCCCTAGTCTAGCTTGGAAATTTATATTCTATATCAAATGACAAACAATAGAAGTCCATGCCAATACAAATGATTCTAAAGAATAGAGCCCACTACAAACAAAGTTGGTATTTCTCAAGAGAAAACTTCAAACTGTGATACGTTGCATCATGGGATGTAAAACGCTCGAAACAAAACCTCCCATGATTATACAGTAAGTGGTATTTTAGTATTATTTGTGTCACCTTGCTTTATGAATGATGAATGCAATGTAACGTAATTATTGTTCTGTTTTGTTTTCAGGACTGACAGTTCTTTCAACTACATGCAGTTCTTCTTTGTGTTCATGGCCCAAGTTGGAATCAGCATCATTCAGAGCATAGGAATCCCTGGGTGGGGTGTTTGGTAAGCTGTGGTGGTGGCAAAACATGGAGCAAACATAATACCTAATGTTTTTATAGCATTAACTCACAACAGCTATGGCAGAGGACTTACAAAGTGGCTGATTCACCGACACAGATCAGAGAATCAAAAAGTTCAAACACAAGAAATACAATGATATCCACACATAGAGCCATCGGTCCATAAGAGGCACATCACCAATGTCCACAAATGTTTACAGATTTCCATAAATGTTGTTGGATGTTGACTGTCCTGGTTTATAGATATCCTTAGAACCTTCTGGATGGCAAAGAACAACTAAAAAAAACCCCACATTGAATCATACAGACATTATACTGTACATACCTAATTAAACCAATGGAATATAAAACACTATTAGAATAAAAAACAAACTTATTATTCAAAAAACTAGATATTTTATGGCTGTTGGAGAGATGTGAGAGCTATGAAAAGGGTATTCTCTGCTCAGTGAGTAATTACACTGACAGTGACGGACCATCCAAAATGACCCTGATATTACTTTTTAATGCTCTTATTAGATTTGGAGAGGCAGTTAAAGACAGCCTCAAATACCATCTCACTCTGAATAACTGTGTGATATTAATCTAATGTCAGCCTGCATAACGTTTATAGATGACTTCTTTTCCAAGTTGGCTATCCTTTTGTAAGAGAAACATACTTGTATAGAACATACTTTTGTAGTCAACAGTGCTTCAGCAGATGTTCAGCAGCAGGGATACATTGAAGGACACTGGGGAAATGCTTATGTGCTGTGTGCTTGTCCTTGGCAGTGGTTGGCTGGCGACCATCTCCTTCTTCAGCTATAACATTTTGATTGCATTGATCATGCTTGTCCCAACAATCATGTTCACTGCTGTTGCCTCTCTGTCCTTCATGGCCCTGACCAAGGTAAGGACAAACTTAGTGAGTTTTACATGTCGAAGAAACTTTTTAATTTCTCTATATGGCATACAAGGTTGTGAATAAACCACTTTGGCTATAATCTCGCAAAACCAAAAAGATACGAACCAAAAGCATCTATAGGATTTCATCAAAACAGAATCAATGAGAGAGAAACAGTGTTAAACTTGATGTCACTTGTTTTGCCCATAACTCTGATAAGTTGCTGTTGGTTAAGTTGGTTGAATGGCAATTTTAGGACCTGAACATGTGAGAATCCTACTCCAAATAATAAATAAAAAAGCAATTGTATTAATATTACTGCTATGTTTGCTGTCCCCATGGCCCCAATTCATTCAGAGACAATTCCATTACTGAAATTGAACAGTTTTGATTTGTCGGGTTAATTAATACAAAAACAAAAATATGTTTTAAATATTTTCTTTACAAATGTACAAAACCAGGACAGGGGACGTTGTTTACATTTCACAAAAAGACACGGTTTTTCTTTTAACTGAAACAAGACTGGTTTGCTTGGGGGAATAAACTTCACAGAGTTATTGACGTAGAAGTAGAGCATTATCCTGAACACAATAACACCAGGCGCTTTCATGATTAAAAATGCTTATAAATAATGCTTATAGTTGCAATTGGTCCAGTTTTTGGCCAATAAACAATATGGTTGCTTGGTAACATCACATTATCATCTACAAACAGGAAGTTAAAGGAGACATTATGCAAAATGGACTTTTGTGGTCTATGTTCCCTCATCAAAAACAGACCTAGAGTGGTTTTTAGATCTATCCACGTTAACATCAGAAACTTAACTAACTCCGCCCCTTCTGCCTAAAAGCTCCTGCCTTAGTCATGTAATGATATAGTGCCATTGTACCACTATGACATCCCATATGAATATTTTTTTAAACCTTTTTTAAAAACAAAATCCTCTAAATTGGTTTCTCAGGTGAAATTACGTTTTTTTTATATATATAATTGTATGACGTAATCTTTAAAAATTGGAAAAAGCAAAATCAAAGCAAAATCAACTCCTCCCTCTGGTGGTAGGATTGGGAGTTGCAGATTCCATTTTTTTTTTTTATCCTTGATGCATCTGTCTCCATATATTTTGTAAAAGATGCAATTTCAATGTAAATAGTCTCATTATCATTTTTTGGCCAAAAATAATGCATACAATTTCCTCTTTAAATGATTATTATCTAAATAAATGCCAAACTTGGATTTTATTTGTCAAAGCATCAAACATTTAAAATATTTACACTCAAACAGTCATAACCTGCCATTTTGTACTTTTTTTCTGATGGGAGACACACAATCTTTATGCTTTATGTTTAGATTCATAACTTCTACCGTGGAAGTGGGGCGAGCATGGCCAAGGCGCAGGAGGAGTGGGCCACAGGGGCGTGGAAGAACCCTCATGTGCAGCAGGCAGCCATGGGGGCAGCAGCTGGGGTCATGCAGGACCAGTACTCCAGCCCAGAGTACAACCAGAACCAGAACCAGAACCAGGTGTAGCGCTGGGGAATAGACTGAAGATTATGCCAAAGAACGAAATAGAGCATTTTGGAAACCACAGGGTGTTAATCCAGAGTGAACCTGTTTGTGAGGATGTGTGTCTTGTGTCTTTTGGTAGCACTCTGAGATCATTCATGACTTATGTATTTGTTTATGTACCAATCATTTTTGTAAGTGGTTTGATTGATGATTGATGATTTCTCGGTAAAATCAGACTCTTCAGAATTTGTAATATATTTGTATTATTATAGTAGGATTGTAATTGTATTAATGGATTTCAGGATGATAAACAAGACCACAAGGTGAAAACATGTATGTGTGTAATGTAATGCATGAAACTCAAGGCAATGTACATTTTGAGCCACATGTTTGTATGAAAAACACGTTATAAACAAAGTTTTATTGATTGTACTATACAAAAAACAAGAATTTATATAATGAGTAATTCCACATAACCTAAATAGTTAGCTTTGGAACTTCCAATAACGAATTACTGAATTACATTTTACAAACACAATTTCCCCCATTAACCAGTGTTTCAACGACTCACCACTTGGAGGCGCTAGAGACTTTGCCCACAGACAATACTCACAGTACAGTGATACTGATGTGGTTTTCTTTTCTCTTGGATATTCAACCTTTCAGCTTGGTTTGGACTCTTTTCTTTTTGCCAAGCTCCCTCCTTCAATTCACACACACACCATGGACGTGTTAAATTATTTTCGCACCCACTTTGTAAAATCAGAACTCTCTTATAGGGGGCTGTTGAGAGCACTTTTAGTTCTGTTAAAGAGCTTTGCAGATACATGAACTGGCAAACTTGATTCAGGGCATCTTAAGGATATCTGAGAGAGCATTTTTATTTGATCAAAGTCAAAGGATATAGATTAAATCTTTCTTTTCCCTTTATTCTCACAATAAGTTTTGGATGTCATTGTCTATCTGTTAATGTAATAATAATAATGATACTAAATTGTGTTTCTTAGACTTTCTTTACATTACAAGTAGAAAGTACATTTAAAAAAAGTTTAAATTCAAGTTATTATGATAATGAGACAAATATGTGTATGGAGCTTGGAGTAGAGCTGCTGCTTCTCCACGTTATGAGATGGCTCGAGCATGTGTTTTGAACGCCTCCTGGACGCCTCCCTGGGGAGGTATTCCAGACATGTCCCACAGGGAGGAGGCCCCAGGGAAGACCCATCTCTTTCAGCTGGCCTGGCAACACCTCAGGATTCCCCCGAATGAGCTGGAGGAAGTGTGTGCGGATGGGAACGCGACCCATAATGAATGTATGTGTGGTTGAGTGAATGTATTTTGTGATGTGCTTAACTTCTTTCATGCCTTGAAATTGTATCAGATTTTGAAATATTGTAGTGTGTAGCCAGCTTTAGTCGTTCACTAACATTCTCTCAAGATAAAAAAACATGTATGGGCCTGAAGTTCAAAAGAGATGAATGCTGCAGTGGGTCTAACTTTGTCAGATGCTTGTCAGGATCAGCAGTGGCAAAGAAAACTCTGGAAATGTATTGAGAGGAAAGAAATCCGTGGCACTAAGTTCAAATGTGACGACTAATTATAGAATACGCTGAAATAGAAGTGCATCCTTGTCATAAACTCTCAGCAGCAGGGTCAGCAGCTACAGAATGCTTTGGGATCTACGATAAATCAAATAGGTCCCAAAGATTACCCAGATGTGTGTAGTGACAATAAAATGACAAGCCTTTAATGAGCACAGATTTTGCTGCACATTTCGGCCACGCAGTAAGGTCCTACACAGTCGCAGATGTTATGTTTCAGAAGAGGTTCCAGAGGTGCTTGTGAAATGACTGCTCTCATGATGTCACCGGTCCCGTAGTGTGCAGTCCGAGCCAAGAAAAATATATGGTTCTGTCAGAGTGAGAGGAGGTCTTCTGCAGCCGACTTCATCATTACCCCACACAGGCCACTAGAGCAGGAGCCGAGCCCAAGGGGGAGGGCACGTGTGGAGACATGATTAAAACACGAAGCCTATCTTCCCTCTACAACATCCACTCATTTGTTCCAATTGCTTGTGACTACAACAAACAACAATATCCCAAGTTCAATTTCAGGAAAGGAAGGGTTTAATGAGAATTTATTCATGGGGGCTTTGACCACTCCACTCCAGGGACACAGGGAATCTGCATACACTCTGTTCAGCTGATGACTCAAGAGAAAAACAAAATTAGTCGTGAGATGGGGAGCTAAGCCAAATGTGAGAGACAAGCAGCCATCAAGCTTAGAACAGATGAGAAATGTTTGTTAACTCACTCACATATGCAGTGGCGTCAGCTCCACATAAAGTGTGTGTGCAATGAGCTATTATCAAAACAAATGAGCCAGCAGCTGCATGTAAATCAAAACACCATTTAAATGTCCTCAGCTCTTCTCCTTTTCCCTGCCAGTGGCTTTTCATCTGCTACTATTCTCCTGCATAAAAAGCCATGCCTTCCTTCTTACCTTTCCACTGCAGCTGTGTGTTTATCCCTTCGGAAATGAGGATTTCTTCTCATCTTTATTCATTTAATTAGGTCACAAGTCATGCTGGAGCCACAAGACGGATTGCCTGTGGCCTTGATAGTGTTCCACTGTAGACTGTTGAAATTACACCTCAGGTCTGTAGAAGGTATTCTATAATGTCAAACTCTTTTTGGCTTAAATTTAATATTGTCCACATAATGCGGAGATGAAGAATTGTGGGATCTAGTCTAGCACTTCAGCAATCATTCAATGACAAGTTACAGTGAGTAGTGGGAAGTGAAATGCCTATTATTAGACACAAGCACTTTTGACCAGGTTGAAGAGAAATTACAAAAATGACACTTGGAAAAAAGGTCTTCAAACTATAAAAAGGTTGCAACTGGACTACAGATGGTCCAGAAAGTTCATGCAAATGGATTCTTGTCTAAAAAGGAGATTCTCACAGGCACAGGTGAAAATAGAAAGTTGTTTAATTCAAATTTTCTCCTGAATTTCAACATAATATGACAGACTCATTACACGCACAAGTGAGAAATATCAAGCCTTTTTGTTAATAATGTTGATAATTGTCTCATGGCAAAAGGTAAGTAAGTCATGATCATCAGAATTATAACAATCAAAGGCTTGGTATGTCAGTTTTATGTAATTAGTCTATATCGTACGTGTCACAACTCTTTGAAATTGATGACGTTCACCTTTACTCTCCGATAAGCAATCAACATATGAGCATGGGAAAAGGCTACTCCTGACAATCTATTGGTCAGAAGTAGCCAAAGCTCTGAACATGTGCAGTTGATCGTTTTCCAACATCAACACACTCATCGCTTCAACCAGACTTTGTGATTTCAATGAGGTCTCACCCTGAGAATGCAGTGAGATCTAATCCGTCCCTCAGTGAGGCAGTGCGCTCACACGTCACAGCTGGAGCCTTAAGCCAAGTATTTACATGTGGAATGGATTGGCTCTTATCATGTCTAAACTAGAAACGTGCAGAAGATTATTTCCAAAACCGAGGCAACACTGCACTGTGAGTGAACTTTGGATCACATGCCCGTGTTTTCCGAGTCGTTCAGAGGATTAATAATACAAGCTAGAACCTGCTACGGCTGCACACACTCTTGTACATATTAGGCAGATAACCAGGGACAGAGTTGACAATCAATTTCAAAATTTAATGGTGGAATAGTTTTCTAATTTTGGGTGATGTTCAACAGAGCTTGCTTGAAGTTTCTACCCTTCCTGGTAAAGTATAATCCTTGACACTAAAAGCAGCAAAAACAAAACAACATACCAATCAATATTCTCTAAATAAGTAAATATATATACACATTTATGAAAGATGCAAGATCTATTCATAAAAAGATACTCGGATTTCCTAGTGTTTCCTGGTTAAATAAAGGCCAATAAAATAAATACATAGACGCATCCGAATAGAAAAAACCCCTTAAAGATGCAGTTAGCGATGTTGTTAGCTTAGCCGTAGCACCAACTCGAAACCACTCCCCCCTCCCCTCGCCTATCCACCAAACCAAACATCCAGAATTTTCTTTTCTTTGTTACAACAGGGAGAGTGGGCGAGAAACGTGAAATTGGCTTTTTCTGTTCAGCCATTTTAGGTTTTAGAAAATAATACGATAACTCAGATTAGGGTTAGCGCACACTCGCGAGAAACAGGAAGAGGGTGAAGGGGTAAACGCATCCCATTGGTTCGTTGGGGATGAACGAATCCCATTGGTTTATTTTTATCGGTCCACTCCAAAATATTTTTATTAATTTTTGGAGACTACAAGCATCTGGTCATTTCCATTACTATTTGAAAACACATGATAACTTGACTACCTTTAGGATTTAGGGACGTTTTCCTACAAATAAATGTGTCTGGAAAAAATTACTGACTGCACCTTTAAGGCATGTACGATAGATTTGTTTTAAGATTGCAGTTTCCTTTTCTAACATGTCCTGATAATTCATTTGCAGTTGTTAGCAGCACGTACAGTACAGTGCAGTGTTTACTTAGTGTCTGTTGAAAGGTCACATTTGCATGAGCGCCTGAACCACTCATCTGGTATACGGGAAAATGCCTTTATGCATTAAACATATCACACCTAATGTTTTATGAGGTGCGAGGTTTCAGGAAGCCGTCACAAGTGTCATAGATCATTAGTTTTAAGTCGGAAAAGGGCTAAGGGGTTTTCACTGGGCCGGCACCGGTAATGAGGCTGCATACTTCAATTCTATCTACAACAGGGCTGTTGGCTATTGGAAAACATAACTTCTATCACAATTACAATAACATAGACGCCAACAAGTTTTCCATTGCATTTGGTCATTCCATGAACAATATGCACATACAGTCAACCAACACAGTATAACCATTTATGTTAGTTACATATTTTATCTCGCGTCAGGTTTTGCTTGAATAACAAATGCTTTAGAGTGGACCGGGGCTGGACAGATACATCAATAATTTTTTTTTTTTGCATATATATATATATATATATAAAATGCATATCATGAACTTGTAAGTTGTAAGCAAACGACAATATAATAGATAAATGCTAAAAGCATATTTCACTTTGTATGTGCTACAGCTATAATACTATTTTTGTATTTGTATTTGTCATAAGAATTAGATGGGTTTAGGTTTTGTGTCAAAGAGTGTATCAATCCAAAATAGGCATGAACAAAAGTGCAGTTTTCAATGACTAAATTGAGCATGTTAACATAATATATTCGTGTGGCATTTGAAAAGTTTTGAAGAAAACTGATTTTAATTCTCTGAAAATGTACCGTAAATAGATTGACATTCTGAAAGAGAGAGATTTCATATTCACCCGAGGAGCACGTGTTTTGGGGATCAAAAAGTCCATGGGACAAAAATGAGAGATCAGGCGCTCTTCGATGATCTGTGCGAAAATATTAAGAACAAGGAGGAAAACACTGTTTTTCATAGAAATCTTTAATGTGACAGGGACATCAGGGTCTTTCCTCATCAGTGTGAAGTGATATTCATCAGAATGACGGATCACATGACGAGTGATGCTACATATATGACATACTTCAAAAATACATTGAATTGATTATTGTCCAGTTTTACAATACTTTTTGTCAATATTTGTAATAATTCCAATTTGAAATATGTCATGCGCAGTATCACATGTGATCACGTGTGATCACTGGACACTTCTCGCTCCGACAAAGACCATAGAGTAGAAACACATTGATATGTCTCTAATGCAGAAGGTGCAAAAAAAACAAGTTGAGAGGAGCCCCAAATACAAGAAGGTTCATTTTGTTTGAATCATTCATCAGAACAAAGGTGTGTGGATCATCTTTACATTCTAAAGTGTAAAATTATACGCCACCAACAAGCTGAACTAAGAGCACTTGAAAAGACCTTTAACAATATGGTAAATATCAACATGCTCACTACATTAAGCATTAAGCAACGTAGCAAATGCCAAATCCCTTGCATTAGGATTTGATACAGTATGTAGTTTTATTCAATGTACTATGAATGTACAGTACAGTACAGTATACTTCTTTGTTAAGAATAATAAAATAAAATGCCAAGAAAAACATGATTCTCTGTTTATTGCCTGAGTCTGAGCCTGATTAGGTGGGGGTGGATTTTTTCTCACATGGATGCACAAGACAAACTTTAATTTTCTTATTTGTTGATCCACAGCTGAACCTTGACTTGTCTAGAGCAACCCACGTTAACACCGCAGACCATTTCTCGCTTTATTTATAATTTACACAGAACTGCACAGTGGGGGATGCATAAATGTTTGTTACCATGCGCTGCTACAGTAAACACCTCCTAAACTACTTATGTTTCTGCACATGGAACTGAGTGAAGCTTCTGGGGACAATACTTGCAGTGGAAGAAACTGTGTCATTATAGACAACAGGAATGATACTATTATTGTCCTTTATGCAGTATATATACAGTAGTTGTGGTGAGCATGTGTCTGGTGATCACACACTCGTATCAGTGCCACTGGAGCCTCTGCTCGTTGCTGCAGATGCAAAATAGTACAATAAACAGTGACGAAGAACCTCAGCCATTATCGGGCCTAATGGACTTCCTTCACATTACAGTGGTCACGCTGTGCGCCAAACTTCCAGTGCCAAATCAAACCCTGCAACACACAAGCAAAGAATGAAGAAACAACATAAAATTATGATTTAGAAATATACAGATTGAAAAGTAAAAAGTTATCATAAATAGTGAATTTAAAAGGATCATTCCTTGCAACTAGTTTTTTGATATGTTTGACTCTGCAAAACCATATTGTGTCTGGGCATCTGAACCTAATGAGGCTTTGCCCAAGAGCTTGTCTTCAAGAGGCAATAAAGTAGCTCTGAGTGCAAATGATATACCTCCTAATAGTGCAATTTTAAAACTCTCTGCTCTTATGTCTGCCTCCGAGGGAAATAATGAAATTCTTAGTGACTATTCATCTTAAGTGAAAATGAGCCATAACTCAATAGATCATTGTCTTTCTTCATGAATCCCATTAAATCCACAGAGAAAATCAAAACACTTCTCTTCAAAAAGAGTATTTAGCAAATGTTTCTTGGTCCAATTGTGAAGAGAAGCAACATCATAATGCCTTCATATGAAAAGTGTTTCTGGATACTTACTGGGACAGTTTGCAGTTGGTCGTCCTCACAAAACGTCCTGTGTAGTGAATGTTGCATCGAACCACATTGTTGGTATAATCCGATTCTCTCACCAAGAACTTTGGATTGACCTGAAGCTAAACAAACCAAACCATATCATTTAATACACAAGTGTGATGAGCGTAAAGGCAATAGTGCAGCATAGACACGTTTGATGTGATTTATGTGCAGCTCGCACTTGTATTGACGGAATGAAATATGCAGTGTTCATTGGGATGGATGAAAACGCAGCGGCTAAGTCACGGAACACTGCAACCAGAACATCTCAGGAGAATGTTTGCATTTTTAAACTTTAGTAACCTAATCATTAATGCAGAGTCCAGATCAATTTGATTTAATGACTCCACGTGTTTCTATCTACACAGTTGTTCCAAACATAAATCTGGCTCCTACCTTTAGAATGTAGTTTCCAGGCTGAACATCTGTTATATCGATCCACTGACAGTCAATATCAGCGTTGTATGTATCATAACAGCCTGGACTCAGCCCCTATACGAAAACAAATAAATAATGACATTTACTCACACACAGCAAATATTGTAGCAGGAAAAAGCATGATCTGCAGTGGAAAGCACATTTTAAATATACAAAGCGCACTGGGTTTACTCTGTCCCACCTGAGTGTGAGCCGTGCACGCGTAACGTTTCAGATGTCCAAAGTCACAAGTCGTGTCCTCCAGACAGAAGCTGGCCTTGTGTCCCTCTGCCACTTTGCGCCCACTGCTAGCTTCCAGTAAATCATAGTGGCTGAATTCGTCCATGCTGTGATAGTGTCTGAAAAAAAACCCAATCATCTCATCTCTGTTAAAAGAACTCTAGAATCTCTTACTGCCTAAAATCCCTGAGTTGCACTAAACTTGTATTTACCTGCAGACAGAAAACCCAAGACACTTATACTCAGGATGACCACTGATTCATTGCATGCTGAAGGGGCTGAGGTTTAGGTAGAGACCAAACACACTGGATTTCAACATTGAAACTAGCAACAGTACAAATGAGAGGTCATGATGGCTGCTGTTTATTAGGAGTGTGACAATATATCTCTGAGGAGCACAGGGACTGGACTCCTGTTAGTGCCCAGAGTCAGAACTAAACATGGGGAGGCTGCTTTTCAGATTCATGCTGCTAAAATCTGGAACAGTCTTCCTGAAGATGTGAGACAGGCCTCCTCTCTGACAATGTTTAAGACAAGGTTGAAAACAGTTCTGTTTAGCTGTGCATACAACTGAGGGATTTTATATTTTTATCTTTTTTTAATGTACTGTGATTATTTATGATTTTAATGCTTTCTTGTTCTGTTCAGCACTTTGAATTGCCTTGTGTATGAATTGTGCTATATAAATAAACTTGCCTTGCCTTGCCTTGCCTATATCGATATCGTGATGTATATTGATTCTCACACGATCAATATGCTTTTGCCAAGTATCAATTTAAAATATATTTTTATATATATATATATATATATATATATTGTTTTAAATTTGTATCAATACTTAATATATGGCTACACTACGCATCTCCATTCCATTTATCATGAAATAAAGTGTATTTTTGTGTGAAGTCAGTATTGATATGTGTCGCTCAAGGCTTCTCTTTATGCTTCCTTACTCTGATACAATACAATACAATACAATTTATTCTTGTATAGCCCAAGGTCACAACAGAAGTAATCTCAGAGGACTTAACAAAACCATTGAAATCACCAACACAGATCAGAGAATCAACAGTTAAAACGATACTCGTAAAAATCTGCTTTGACCTGAACATATTGTTCTATGACCCAGATATTGCCAAAGAAACACATAACCATCTATCAGCGGACCTTGCTGCTAAGTTCCAACAGACCAAAATGTGCTGTATTTGAATCCAGAGTTGAGAATTAGTTAATAACTTACACTTAGAACTATTTCGTGTTTATTCAGATTGCTTTACTAAAAGATTTCTATAACAGTATATTTCTGACCAATATATCGATTATTGTCATATTGTGATATAATCGTTATCGTGAGCTTTGTATCGCGTATCGTATCGTATCGTGAGGTACCCTGACGTTCTCACCCCTATTGTTTATGTCATTAAGAATCAATCAGCATAACAACTGGTGACAGAAAAGGTTATATTTTATTTAAAACTGTTTACTCCGATGTTGCAGCGTGTTGTTAAAAATTAAATGGAGAATCTCACACACAGTTTCTTCAAGTTGGGTCACCATATTGTAGAAGTGAGGAAAGGTCACAGTGATGCATCGTGTGGTACTCACTTGACTGACCTCGCCTGTTAACACGTGTTAATGGATGTGATGGTGTGGCATATAACTGAACACATTACAAAGGTTAAAGGGACAATGAGAGATAATTAATAACAACAATAAAATACCGCTGATGCAAGTCATCACGGCCTTAATGATGTATGAATGCTGTTAATTATCTCCTATCCGCAGTGGGAAAGGGCCAACTGTTTGGGTGAGAATTGATGCTCATTGCCTTTTCCTTCACCATATTCAGACATGTACAGTACATTATCATTATAAACTTACCCCGCAGGATCTTAGCACCCCACAGGTTTGTACAGTAGCCAAAGGACATAATCACGTCAGCCTTCCTCATGTATAGACAAGTATGACATTGTTTTCACACATTGAATTCACCAGAATCAGGCTCGTAACCTCATTCAGAATCTTTGGATTGTGGATGTACTGGAGACGGCTTTGCTCAATGGTCACACATCAGACAAGGTCTTGGTAAAATTAATTAAACATTACTACTAAAAAATTGGACAGTGAAGGTCCTACCAAATTGAAATTGTGGGCCGTTTGGGCAGTCGAATATAGTTTTCCAATTATTTTTAAGGTTAGCACTACATTTTTAAACATTTGCTCCATAATTGTGTGACCAACGGCAGTTGCAAAGTTTTCCTAGCTTATGTCGTGACCCAGATGGCAACACAAAAGTCTTATTAGAACAGTCATTAAAGTACACGCATGGCTTGTAAAGTTGGAAGGGCAAAGAGGTGGTTTCCATTGAGCAGAAGACAAACAGACATTAATTTATTTGGATAGGTGGAAAGGCCTACAGGGGCTTTTGGGTGTGTTTAAAAAAACATTCTTTGGTCTGAATGTACTACATGCACATATGTAATTTTTTGTCTACTAATAATTCTGCACATGGAGCTGAGTGAAGCTCTGGGGACAATACTTACAGTGGTGCAAACTGTGTCATTATAGAAATAGGATTAATACTATTATTGTTCTTGCATTGCAGATCAGTTTTTTCTTTGATATTACCATGTGGCCTTTAATGATACTGAGAATAAAAGCAAATAATCACCTTTCCTGTGAGTGCTTCATGCCTGATTAAAGATGAATTCATACAGAAATGTAAAAATACAATTTGGGACAAGGATTTGACGTTAGATGCTAAAAAGACAATATACAGGAAACTTAAACTCTAGTCTTAACTCAGCCCAACACAATTATTGTTGTGTTGGGCTTTTCTGTTATGGTCCAAAGTATCCAGGACTTCCAATAGTTATTTCCCCAGAGATGTCTTGACACCCATGGTGTGTTCTCAGGAAGAACCATATTGTTGTCATCCTACTCTAGCGCTTGTGTGATGCGATTGACCGGGTAAAAAACAGATTGATTTGTCATTGTGATCACAGAGCTGCTGGAATGATTTCCTTGGCCTGGTGCCCCTTGGGAACCACAGTGTAAATGTAGACTGATGTCAGACAGCTACAACACTGCCAATCTCCTAACAGCCAGCTCACATTCCTCCAAGACGGGCTGGGAATAACAGGGCCTGGTATGTGTGACTAAAACAACACCAGTCCAAGTGGATATGACGGCAGCTATAGTTGCACAAAGACACAGTAAAAGCAACAATAAAACATGGACATTTTAATCTACAATAATTTATGAGTTGAATTTGCCAAATCATTGATAATTGAGTCACCCAACCTCATAAGCGTTGGAGGTATCTAATAGGGCATTGTGTGAAGTCATATGGCATCCAAACCCTTCCATACACTTCCCCACATCCGTCAGAGAACACAAAGATACACAGCACCACCATTAGCTCAAAAAACGAATGCATTCCTTTGTGATAACATCAGGCTAAGACACAGACCTCTAAAATACTGTAGGTCCACAGTTTTAGCTGAGAGGGCGGTCAATAAAGCATGTCTGGCTGATTCGTCCACATTACAGACTTACTGATGACAGCTGTGCCACTCCCATGTATGCTGTGGTCTGTTAGGCATGAAGTCAGCTTTGCCCCGATTCTTCACCCTCTGTGGAAAACGCAGCAGCACCCTTACGTCATAGTCGGTCGTCTCAGGGCTGTAGGCTGAGCTAAGTCAGAGAAAAGGCACAGGAATGCAATTAAACAGGCAGTACATTTTATTTGATGGCATAATTAAAAATACAGATGAGTTTCACAACATTAAAACATTGCCCCATTGTTGAGATATTTACTATAAAATCAATAGAAAAATGGTTATTGCCAGTAGGGGTCAATTGAGAGGTATTTTTCATGGTCAATATCAATACACATGCATATTGGTTAATATCTGTGTCGATAACTGCCAGCATTTAAATAGTACACCACATTTAGTCGATGGCATTGCAATTGTACATTGAACATATTTTTCCTACTCATTTAACTTGTCACACTTGTTGGACTGGTCAATTTTAACTGGATGGACCTAGCTTGGGTCCCCATGGAGGGGTTCAAATGGACACACATGATGATCATTAAATCAAATTTAAATGTGTTTGTATTTGCCATGTCAAATATGTGTTATTAATCATACCAAGCTTACATATTTATGTAGGCTCATATGTACAAATGTGTCTAAATGTACAAATGGGTCTATAATTGTATGCCAATAAAAAAAAACAAAAAAAAAATTCCTACCAAGCTGCAGTTAATTTCCAATCCATTAATAAAGTAGCTGGGAGTGGACAGAAAACGTGTCATGTCAAAACAATTATTTTTTTAAGGGGTATGGCTCTCCTTTATTCTTATTTTCATGCCTTATTCTATTTTTAATTTGCATCTTGTTTGCACCGAGAGCCAAAGCAATTTCCTAGTTTGTGCCTTCTTGTTTCTCGCAATGGCAAAAAACAGGAGTCTAATTCTAACTCTAAAAGCACAGGAAGGGATAGAAAAGTCAGTAAGGTGCTGTACAATTTGCTTTGGGGGATCAAAGAACTACTGTTGTTGAATAGCTGCTGTTGACATTGGAGTGTATGGCAAATTACACCGGCCCATCTGCTGGTGATTGCAGCAAACTTGGACAGGATATGAAGGGCTTTGAGCGATGGCTGTGCTGGTGATGGGAAGAGGGCAAACAGAGCAGCGCTGGGGACAACACTCCTCCATCAATTCACCGTCAACCCAGAGGTGTCCTCGGAGAGAGTCCGAGAGAAGGGCAGAGCGGCAGCACCAGTCAATAAGAACAGACCATGAGGATGCACTCAAAAGTATATTTATTTTTGGATTTGATAGAAAGGATAGAATTAATCTGGACAATCTTTTGAATCTAAGATATTTTAATAAGTAATTGTAAATGGGGCGGCAGTAGCTCAGTTGGTAGAGCGTTGGCCTTTGAGCCAGAAGGTCGTGGGTTCAAGCCCCGCTCAAGACTTTCACCTTTCATCGACTCCCACTGACTACTGTCGTTGTGTCTTTGGCAAGACACTTAACCTCTGGGAACACCAGCCACAGTGGGGCGGCTGCGGCTGTAAAGTGCCAAAGTGCTGTTGTGTCCTTAGGCAAGACACTTTACCCCCATTGCCTAGAATGAGTCTGGTGTGTGTGTGAATGGTTGGTGGTGGTCGGAGGGGCCGATGGCACATACTGGTTGCCTCGCTTCTGTCAGTGTGCCCCAGGGCAGCTGTGGCTACAGTAGTAGTTTATCACCACCGTGTTTGGAGTGAATGAATAATGACACATGTGAAGCGTCTTTGAGTGTCCAAAAAAGCGCTATATAAAACCGATGCATTATTATTATTATTAAATGAATGGTTGCTAGAGGATTCTGTGTAGTGACATGTGTTCATTATTGTTTGATATGAATAATCTCTCATCTCAACTCAATCTTTTAAACTCTTTTTGTTGTTGTTGTTGTCATGGAGCAGGCCTTCACAAATGAATGTCTATATAAGCTTTATTTTGTTATATTTATCTACAATAACAATAACATTTGTAGCAACCTCATTAGTATTTTATTAATATGTTGGTGGTGCGGTATAAGAGATTGGTGTGTTCATGTTGTGTGTCCATAATCCATTACAAGAGTAGTTGTGTAGTCGTATGGGTTTCTTTTGTGTAAGTCTTACCTGGAAAGACATTTCTCCTCAGAAGCACATCGCAGAGAATACATGTGGGCTCTTTGGATGTAGACAGAAGCTTGAACATAGTTAGGATCAGGAACCAGGTCAGGAAGATCTGCAAAACAAGTCAAGATGGACTATTTTCACGATCAAACAACATCGTGATGATAATACATAATTTAACACCCCCCAAATGTTTTATTATATATTAATTCATAAATGAGTTGTTAATAATTAGCTCATGAGTAGCACATGGTTATAATGTTTACATGTTAGGCACCACAGCTTTAATATACACAATAAAACATAAGTCAATTCTATGATGTAACAGATTTGGTATAATGTTTTGGATCAGACCTTTGTTGTTGTACTAAAAGCCTGGCAAACAAAATGTCAAACACGTTTTTTAATGTTCATATTTTATTACTGGATATTTATAGTGATGCTAATGGAAGCTTTAATTTGGCCTCAGAGCTGAAACAGGCCCCAGAATTCCGGCCTGGGTCACACTGGAGAAAGCTAATGGCCTCTAATTACGGTATTGTGCATTTCAGATCATTATCACAGCTTTTAATGAGCCACTTTTGCTCTGTGGATTGGAGAGTCCGGCTGAGTTCAGGTGAAAGTGCAGAAGGTGAAACGGAAAAGGTGTTTTAAAATAGCTAACATTACACAAATGTTGGGGTAAGTAAAAAAAAAAAAAAAAACGTATTATTTGTTTATAACTTATTATATTATTAAAAAACTTATTTGAATTATTGTTTTTACTGGTTACCATACTTAACTAAAAAGTTGTTTGTTTTTCAAACGACTTTTTAGATAATCATTAAGAACCCCAAACATAAATCAAAATGACTCAAGCACAACGCTATCACAGACTCTGGGTGATATGTGCTGGATAGAGTTTGAGATAGCTGCAATTTCGGCAACTTGTTTTTGATTGTCCTTTTTTTCTGCCAGTCGATAGCAATAAAATAAGAACATGTGTTACTATTACCAGGGGTGTACATAACTTTTTCAGTGAGGTTCTCAGATGAGTACCAGGAGAAGGTGTTTGGTTCTTAATCGAGATTTTATACTTGCTTCTTTTTATTGCTAAAGTTTAGATCAGCTCAGATAATCTACTCAATTCAAGCCAAATAATGACTCAGGCCTCTTTCCTAAAAATACAAAACAAAACAAAAAATCAAACAATGTTCTGTTTGATAAAACAGGCGAGCTCGGAGTCCAGTGCTTAGGTGGGTTTAGTTTCTACACTCCCAGAGAGCAAAAAAATGGTCAAGACAGTGCAGAGCGTATTCACAATAAAATTAGCAATTAGTAACAAAAAAAATAACTTGACTACACAAATAACACACTGACACATAGGTCACCTTTAAGTTTCAAGTGACCTCCTCTGTAACCAGCGGCAGACTGTGCCAAACACGGCTCCTGGCCCCTCCCATTGAGCAAATTATTTTGGTAGAAATTTCATTACATTACATCAATATACTCTCAAAACATGTACATTTAATTGCGCACATCACATGGGAAAAATTCCCATTTAACCCACCAAGAAATAGTTTCCTGGTTCGATCCTCGCGCACAGACCCAGAAGAGCGTGACAGACCGGTAAATATTTGTGTAAATGTATGCTTGAATATATTTCTAACCCGCACAATTGTGCACCTTTGGCGTAACTGAGCGGAGAGACGTACGAGAGAATGGGATGCGTGTGGATGTTACGTATGAATGGAATGGGGGGAAGAGGTGCGCGAGTGTGGAATGCCGTGTGCGTGCCGGTGTGTGTGTGCGTGCGGAATGAAAGTCAGCCTTCAGTATAAAACTATATTCGCGCACGTAGCTAGAGACGGACCGCTCCGTTGCACGGGCATTGCACCGCGCCTGGACTGGTCTATGTGAAGTACGCAAAGGCGCTTACTAACTCAAGTGATAGTACGCATTTCTGATATTTGTCGCGCATGCGTACCTGCGTACCATTTAGGCTGATTTAACTTCAGAACTCTTTATCATCCAATTCCACACATGAAATGTAAACAAGCCGAGAAGGGTCCAGGACAAACTCACATCGATGCTGGACCACAAAGGTCACTTCCTGCAGAACACACTGTCTCCTCTGGAGAGCAGCTTCAGGGATAGACTGGTCTAACTGTGGTCTTTCCCCCCTGCTGCTATCAGACTGTACAGTAAACAGTGAAAACTGACCTCAAATGTCATGCATTAATGTCTGTGCATTAAGGAGGTTCAGACTGGAAGACTGGAAACTCTACGTGTGCACAAACAGCAATCGCTAATTCACACTCAGCTGGCGTCTCCGTGCGGCTAATTCTCACCTGGCAGCATTTAAGCGCTGCTCTGCAGCCAGCTTTCATATCATGCAAAGAGGTTTCATTGGTGCAGAAACCCTCCTCCTCCCGGTCCGCGCCGTCAGCTCTTTAACCTTCTCCTGGCTACCAACACCAGGGTCTAGGCCTCGGGGGTCCATCTCATAATTTCTATTTTAATTTCCCCTCCTGCATTTGTCATGCAGTGCTCTGCCGGGGTCTAAGCACCAAATCATAACTACATTTCATGTACAGCCTGCAATAAATATCATTCTTGCGTATAATGTCTGCAAGTCTATTTCATGTAGAAACACATTAATGCCAACTAATAAACACAACCTCCTTTAGTTTGTTTGAGTCTCTCCCAAATAAAATGTCAGAAAACTTAACTAATTATTACTGAATTACACATGACTGAATGTTTGAAACCACAGAGATAATACTATTACTTCAATATGCTTGCACTAGATTACAGATTCATCTATAGATCTTAGAGTTAACGTATCTTTTCACTTCACAGGTACATTTTTTATTTGCACTCGAGTAAAGGTTTACACTTGTTTTGTTTTTACTTTTTTTTTAATTGAGCTAAAGATATAGATTTTATTTTATCTTTCAAGTATAGATTCCTATACTCAATATTAACATATAATATTTTGTGTGCTCCTTATTCCACGTGTAATAATATAGAAAACGGAGCAAATTGTGGGGCCAATAAAAGATCTCTTAATATCCAAACAAAATAAAGAAACAGGAAATTAACCATTATTCCAGTCTGCAGAAGAGCTCAGGTCAACCCAAAAGAGCAAGAGATACAACAAGAATGATGTTTGAAATATTTGAGAGTGATTCATTATTCCCTCTAACTCCAAGGCCCAGCTTCTCTGTGTGGGCATTTCAGAAAGAGGAAATAGAATTGTCATTATCTAGCAAGTGTTGCTTTCTCTTGCACAGTTTAAATGTTTTTACCTTTCCAGTAATTGTGTAAACAGGCTCATTGCTCTGATTCCCACAGCTGACATAAAGGACGCAGGGAAGGTCAGAACAAACCATGTCAACACTCCAGGCCGATGTGCAAAAGCCGAGGTTTTTCAGCTCTCAACTCCATTTCTCTGCTCCCTCTCCAGATAGGCTTTGTTCTCAGAGCCCTAATCTTTTGAAATGTGAAATTGGGTCTCTTTCCGAGGGATAAAGTGTATTGAGAAGCCAAAGCTGATCAGCTTCCGACAGCATGTGACAAAGCCACACATTACTCTCTAAGTAGAGCAGAGAGGAAAGATTCAGAATCTCTGCAGGTCGTTTACACATTTATCTGCTATAGGAAGCATCAGAAGAAAAACAGGGCACACGATTCTAATCATTGACCTCCAATTGCTTTAATGCATTCCATACTGAAAAAGATGAGTCAATGACACATTAGTGCTCATGTTTTCATTATCTGCACTAATTATAAGCAATTAATCAGTGTTTACAGAATAATATAAAAAAAAATAGTCCCCGACACAATAAATGTAATTAACACTTTTTAAAATCTTTTTGTCTGCTTTGGTTTTTAATGAAATATATATGCATTTCAAAGTATATAAATTGTGTTGTCAGAAAAACAGGAAAGCCTAATGTCCGGCCCATGAGCCAATCGCTGTCCTCTGTGTTATTGTATGATACAACCAACTTAAAACGCCTCCAATAAAAGCATGCTGTTCCTTGTACAGAACCTCAGAACCTCTTAAATCCTGACTTTCACTTATTCTAGTCGCACAAAAGCGTCTCAGCCTCCGACAGCACAACACTGTCACGATAGAAGAATCGGACGCTGTAGGTCAAACCTCAAAGACTGCAATAAATAGACTTAGACGGTCTATGTAGTAGAAGAAATGTTGCCCTTTCCTACTACATTTTTATTTTTTATTTTTTACCCAATTTATTTTCTAATGTGTTCATAAAAATGCGTATTTCTACATACAAGTTGTATTAAAATCCGTAATTTAATTGAAAACTTGAGCTCATTGATTCAGCTTGTGCATGAATTCAGGCCGTAAAAAGTGCTGAGTAGAAACTTAGCGTGACGCTAGTTCTCCAATCACAGAACGAGGGGCGGCGCTGTTACAAACAGGCCACGCCTCCTCTAGCATCTACAGCACAGGTAAACAAGAGCAGCATGGCGGCAGAAAGTGGTTATACCTCCACTGGCTGTAACTGCATACACAGCAAAACAGCCCAAAAGACTGAAAAGTGAGGGGGAGAAGAGGGAACTAAAGCGAAAAAAAGAAAGAAAATCAAGCCCGGGTGAATATATATAGCTTACATCGTATCCTCGCCGGAAAGACCTACATTTGGTCGCAAAACAAGCGGTAATCTTTCTGTATATTTTGTTAGCAGTGCGTTGCTTCTGTACCATTTCATCAGTGATTGTTGTACAGCTTGCAAGAAGTTGTGCTAATGCTAATGTTTGCATACTTATCAAATCGCTAATAAAACTAGATGGCTCTATGGGAGGAGAGCGTAGGGCAGAGTAGGAGGGTTTCTCAAAATGAGATGCTTGTGAGCGAGTTGGGGGGCGGTGTTATGGGACATTCAGCCCGGATCATGAGTTGCAGCGACTTTCAATGCAAAGTCAATGGTGACGTGCATTTGAGCGTGGAACTGCATGTGCGTCTCTGGACGCACACACGGACTGCGCTGTAGAGACGCACGGACTGCACGGTAGCAGCGAGCCAGAGGCGAAGGAGCGGAAAATTGACGCACGCAGGAGATTAACATCGTTGAACTTTTTCCTCGGGACACACGAGCAGTGACCAAGCAGGGAGCCGAAAACAGGCTACAGGGACATTAGCGGTCTTACAAGTAGACCCAGGACTACCCTGGACTAAACCAGGATTGACAATGGGGGACATATTGCTTGTGAACATATCCCTCCAGTCGAGTTCTCATGCTCTCGTGACTGTAATACAACTGCTGCTAGCGTGTTCGCCGATGTGGAAGTACCGTTTAATAATAAAAGAAACTTATGGCGCACCTCCGTGAACACATACTACTGTTATATAAAATCTCAGGAAGGTCTCTGGACACAGAGACGCTGTAGCTGCATTCTTGGAGAAGAACTTTTCACAAAAAGCCGCTAAAAGTTGCTTTGACTACAATTAAAAGTTGATCAACATATTTAATGGCCACCGGACTATTAGGCACACCTGTGTATAAGCCACACCAGCAATTATTTATTTTTTTAAAGTACATTTTGTCCACATGTAAGCCACATTTTAATATACATCGAAGGTTTGCATGTTGTAAAGTAGCAGAAAGAGGGTTTTAACTGGTCATAACGCAATTTAATGATGAGGTGTTTAAAGGTCCCATATTTCCATCCATCCATCCATCCATTTTCTACCCTTTAATCCATTTCTGGGTCAGGGGGGTGGCAATCAGAGATGCCACCCAAGTCTCATAGCACCAGCCCCTCACTGACCCTCTGCGGGTGGTGAGTCCACAGGAGCTGAGATCTTCCAGCGGGGGCTTCCAGCGGGGTCCCATATTTCTCTCTTCTTTATTTTCAAAGAAGAGAGAAATAATGATAATTTGGGTGATACAGCAACACTCAAAACTTTGAAATTTCTGGATTTGTGCTCTTTTGCCTGTGAGCCTGCCTCCCCCAACCTGCACCAAGACATAGCCTCACGCTAACTTGGAGGGGTAAATAATTCAGCATCCAAGCTAACTGTTCAGCCTTTGCCAGTACATAATAATCAATTTCTGGGTCGGGGGTAACGGTCAGATCTGCACCCAATTCACATAGCAGCATCCCCTGACTGATCCGCCTGCAGGTGGTGAGTCCACAGGAAGATGGCAGCTCTGTCAGTAACTGCACAGCCTGGATTTTTCAGCAGGGGCTTCAGGCAAAGTGGAGTAAAGTGTCTTGCCCAAGGACACAACGATGGCAGAGGTGGAAGTCGTTGGAGAAGGTCTCGTGGTCGGCTCCAAGTCACGACCTTCAGGCTCAAAGGCCAATGCTCTACCAACTGAGCCACTGTCACCCGGAATTTGTTCAAAACTTGGCTCATTAACAAACCAATTACCAAACTAGCATCATCAATTGACCTTAGCAATGAGGCCCTCAACAAGTATATAGATTGTTGAATTTCTTAGTTTCCCTTATCACAAGCAGTAAACCATCAGTATTATCTTTTGCACAATGCTTCTAAATTTACCCCATGTGTCGAAGGGATTTTCCATGTTTTGCCCTCCCTCTCAGGACCACTGCATTTTTAGCTCTTGACCCCCACAACACACACACACACATGCACACACTCAACACACACACCCCTCTGCTCCATCTCAGTCATAAGTCCCTGTATGAGATCACCACTGCCTTCACTCAACTGCACGCCACAGTCTGGAAGAACACAGAAACACAGAGGTTCTTGTGTTCTGGCTCAACAGCTGCTTTCAATAACCTGAGTCACTTTAGATTGTATTCACTGTGCTTGCTTTGTAAACAGACGTAGTTGAACACAGAGGTAACTACCCACCCCAAGTATAAAAGAAAGAAACACAATGCATTACTACACCATAAGATTTAGAAATCCTTCGGGGAAATTATGTCATTAACTTCAAAACTTCAGGTTTGAACTTAATGACATCATTGCCCCATAATGAGTCTGTCATACAGTGATGTACAAACTAAAAGGGTTACTGTACCTCTTGTGCCTGTCCTATGAGCACTCTCTGGCGCAGAATTGGGAGAGGTTCGCCCTGGTGATATTGGTTGTAGGAATGCTGGCTGCATTCTTCCAAATGGTGGAAACTGCTCATACTGGGGGCTTCTTATTGGTGGTTGCCCAACACGTCCACTTTCAGAACCCTGTGCTGCCTCAGGGTTGGGTACAGCCTGCCCAGAGTTCCCATTATAAAGGTTGTGCGTGTATCTGTGATCTAATCCATCTGAAAATGGTGTCTGTGGCGGCTGAGGAGGCCGGGGAACAGCTGCTGCAGGATGAGGTCCAGATCCAAAGGGTGGGTAATACATGAAACCATCTTCAGTGAAATCAGATGGGGAACCAGGAGGAATCGGCTGGAGATTTGCACCATATACCCCCCCTGTTCCATAGCCTCCACCAGGCACAGCTGGTTGAAAAGGTGGCTCAAAACTCCTCACTGGGACGTCCCCATAACTAGGATCATATGGTTGAGGTTGAAAGGGGGGCTGCGGTGGATAGTACTGTGGATATGACTGGACATTGTAAGGTGATAATCCTGTAGAGGGCCGAAAGCGAGGATTTGTGGATCCCTGGATGGTACCAGTCCCAGTCTGCCTCCAGTTGTCAGGCACTTGTCCAAAGCCAAAAGGATGTCTTGCCTGTCCACGAACAGTGTCTGATGATCCTCTTGAGGGGGCTTGACGTCTCACATTACCCCCTTGCCGACGCGTTGATCGAGTTCCAGAATCAGCAACAACCACACGAGGTCCTCTGTCCTGAGAGTTTGCCCCAGCAGGAACGTACTCTGCTCCACTGTTAAGCAGGCTAAAAACCTGCCCATTGTTTTCCCATTGAATAAGCTGCCTCCAAGGGGCAGCACTGTCCTGGTCTTGAGCCTGAGATTGTGAAGCCACCTGAGCAAGCCCAACTCTCAGCACTGTACAGAGTAAACATACATAAACAAATGGAACCATTCTAACTTTAAATACAGTGCACGTCATGACTATCGATCCACCCAGGCTTACCAGCAAACTCAAACCATCTGTTAAATTGTCAGAAAAAACATGTAGTCCTCCTTTGGAAAAAATCAGATTTGGTATAGGGATGGATCATAAAATAAACCTCTTATCGAGGGCATCTGCAAACCTTGAGGTAAAGTTAACCGTACATATATTCCAAAGCATACAAAACTGCTGTGCCAAAGGAATGTCCTTAATTTCTTAACTGCTTCCTAGAATGCTCGTAAATGGCTTTGCATTGCTCCCAGAGAAAGAAGTGTCTGTCTACTGCATGACTGCTAGCGTCTATTTGGCTGATTACTTACAATGGGTTGTGAAAAAATCTGAAAGTTTGTAGAAAGAGAGGGCCCACATGGCCCTAGTGCTAGTAATGTTCCCTGGACTGAAAACAGCTGCAGCCAATATATTTTGGATATATATCTTTTTAGAAGAATTCAAGACATACTGTAAAACAAATTTCACAATTAGTGACTTGGTGTTTTACTTTTATAATTACAATAACTTGAAAGAAACTACAAAGATTTGTTTATCTCAATAATGACTGTCAATGATAATTTCCAAGTCACTCGTAAAAAAAGACTTAAATCAAGGTCAAAACCATGTCCATGGGAAAATGACCATTATTTAGATTAACATTCTTATTTTTATGGAAAAAAACCTGCGTTAAACTAGTACATCTCACATACAGTAACTTCATTGAATAATGGTTGTTTTAGGTTGTTTTAGCTTAGGGGATTGACAGAGGGTGAAAAACTAAAATATTGCTTACAATTTTGCTGGGCATGTTTACTATCTGGATTTTCCAGCTATTGTTTCTGCACTAAACTGCATGTGCAGGTATCCCTCCACTGCTTAGTTGATTTCTTCATGGAGAATTTTGTCTTAAATTAGTTATGCTTTTCTATGTCCATGCACAATTATTATGTGAGCATTCCATGTGTTATTTTAGTTGTAGACCTTGAGGACATTGTTTGTCTAATATAAGTGGCAAAGTATGAAAGCCTCTAAAGTAAATGGAGCATTCTCTTATAGATTAGGGCTAAGTGTGAGATAAAGGTTGTTTCTACAGCGGATGTATGTCTTCTGTCTGCAAAGAAACAGGGCACAGTCTGTGAAGTTGGGAGAAAGAGCACATTGATGTGACTGTGCGTCATGGGAGAAAAGCCCTGAGAGGGTGTCCTGCTGAGTGCAACCTTTAGCTGCTGCGGATCAAAGATACAACTGCTCATACACTTAGCCTCTTTCATCTTCTCCGGCAATATTTATTAATACAAGCTCCTAACTTCTTCTTACACACCGTCTCTCTTCAACAGAACTCTATGGGAGGGGGAAAAACATTCAAGGATTGCAGCTTTTCATCTTGAAATGATACATATTCACTAAAAAGAACTTTCTATCAACATATAGAACCACAAGCATCATAAGCCATAACAAAGGGCCTATTGATGTTACAGTGTGCACAAACATGAGTGTAAAGTGAATAGGTAAAATGTACTTTTAAAGATATTCCGTACCAAGTGGTTCAGCAATAGATAACATAGTAATTTACATTCCTATTACTAATACTTTTAACATGATGTAGCATGATGTTCTCTAAACCGCCTTAATCTGTCCATCTGTTCAGGCTGTAAAGAGCTGGGGCATGACCCACCACCCTGATTGCACATGCAAACTGCACAGGTGTGGGATAATTCCATTTTAGATGTCAAAGGAGCATGGCCTTTTGTGTATGGAGACCCAACCTCGAGGGAAGGAAATTGGGGCAACATACAATCTAAATCAGAGATTATAATGCAAACAGCCCTGTGGGGGCTTACTAATGACTAAGGTGAGCCTGAGACACAGCTTTGACTCTTCTTTAGAATATCAATGAGGTCTCTGAAAGACGTGAATGTGTAGGCAAGTGACTGGCATAGTAAACGACTGCTGCTCGTCTGTGGCCCATGTATCCACTACAGAGAAGGCTGATATATGCCAAAAGGTATCCTCAAGGTGCAGCCCCCACTGGCTTCAAAAATGCTCAGCAGGATTGTACACTACTAATGATTTCATGATGTCATGATTCCATTCCATTCCATTTACTTCCGCTTCATCTGTTGCCGGTCGTGAGGGGCTTCAGTCTAAGCAGAAACGCCCAGACTTCCATATCCACACACACTTCCTCCAGCTTGTCCGGGGGGACCCCAAGGCATTCCCAGCTGACAGACATAGTCCCTCCAGCGTGTCCCGGGTCTTCCCTGGGGCCTCCTCCCGATGGGAGGTGCCCGGAACACCTCTCCAGGGAAGAGTCCAGGTGACATCTGGAACAGATGCCCGAGCCACCTCAACTGGTTCCTTGCGACGTGGAGAAGCAGGGGCTCTACTCCGAGCTCCCAACGTGTGACTGAGCTCCTCACCCAATCTTGGTCACTGTACCCAAAGCTCATGATCATAGGTGAGGGAGGGAACGAAGATTGACCGGTAAATCGAGAGCTTTGCCTTTCGGCTCAGCTCCCTCTTCACCACGACGGTCCGGTACGGCGACCGCATCACTGCGCACGCTGCACCGATCCGCCTGTCAATCTCACGCTCCATGTCAAATAGGATTCAATTATAATAATTAATAAAGGTCCAGAGTAAAAACAAACTTAAAATCCAAAGGAACAGGACGGAAAGGACAGACATTGACAATACAATGAACCTGCAACAAGGGGAGAGGAGCACAGGTACATATAGACACAGACACAGGAGAGACACACAAGACAGGAAGTACACACCATGACATCATACTCTGTATGTATACTCTTGTATAAATGGCAATTGTAATAAATTGAGCGATTGCTATCTACGCATGCATGGACAACATGGTCAATTAGTAATTACTGTGTACAGACAGTCTAATGATTAGAAAGGGTCAGATATGGAAGTGGACTGGAGCGAGAAAGACTACAAAGATCATTTATCCCTGAACAAAAGCTTTGAGGTTTGACCTAATGGAACTGTTCGACTCAGTGTTTGGTCACAGTTGTGATTCTTGAACAGTTAGATAATCCGTTTAAAAGAAGCAATCCATAAATACAATGTGTTGTTAATCTGTCCTTGGAGAGTACAGTGAGAACAAATACTCTTTTTGTTCCTAACAAAACAACAAATGTGAAACAATTGTTTTAAAAAACATCTGGGAGCAACTAAAAAGTACTTTTTCAAAAGCACTGCTGCCGCTCAGGAAATGTTCCTCATTGTGGAATGTGTAATAAATATCACAAATACATGCTGCCTGGGCCCATTGGAATGGTGCTGTACTTCTGTAATGCACATTGCTATGTGGGGTCAATGCCAAGTGCTTAAGAAAAGGAAGAGAGTTTTGCAAACCCATTTGCACAGCCAAGGTAAACAAAAAACAGCAGGGCATTTTCTGAGGGCTGCACGATTTACTGCTCTGGCATTTTGGATTAAGAGGGGCAGGTCGAAACACTTGCAAGGCGTTTCCTCATGATTACATTGTAGGTGGGTTCAGATTGGCAGACAAATCATTGTAAGTCATACTTAGGCAGAAAAATAGTGATGCTTTCATTGGTGTGGTATTCAGACTACTGTAACAGGATAGTTTTCACCCTAATGACGTGATGTTGCAATAGTAATCCCGCACAAGAACATCCACAGCCTGTAGTTACAAATATAAATGCTTTTTTGTGTTAAATTAAATTGTAACAAGACATTTTCAATATAATGCTAACAGTTTAAAATAAATCAGCAGAAATAGAAGTGGGATTTGGGACACAATTGTATGAACATTTTCGGACATTGGTCAACCTATAGAACATTGTTTTTCACATCATTTTCTTTGTGAATTAGGGCTATACAAAAACAAAAAAATGAAAGAAATTGATTGAAATCTGCTGTAAACTGATCATCAGCTGATCAAAGGTCCATGCTGTAGAGCTCAGATGTGAAATGTTGCGTCTGATTATTTATTTTTTGGGTATTTGTTTGAAGACACATGTGAGAGTGCATGTGGCTGTAATTCAACTGTATTGTGCACAGGACGTCGGAATCGTCCCGCCTTAAGTTTATTTTCTATTTTTTATTATTCTATTTTTTTTAAAATTGTTGATACATTTAAAGAGTCCAATTTGATCATACATCAAACTAAATCCTACTTTATTGAGGTCCAAAGAACAAAAACACCCCCCCCCCCAAAATCTCTACCTGCTTCTGAGCGGGAACGCCTACTAAAACACCAACTATGATATTGTCACATATCACAGAATGATTGACAATTAATGAATATGAGCACCTCCCCCAATCGAGGTGGCAGTGTTGCGTCATTATTTCCGGCTCTTGTGAAGGAACCACTGACATTCTCAAATTATAATACAAAAGATCACAATTCTGCAGCTGACTTTGGATGTGGAGTGATTTTGAGCCCTGTTGATCAAACGACCAAGCTGCAAGAGGAGTGTTTGGTGTCGCCAGCGCAGTAGGGTGAAAAGTAAGACATGGGTCTCTTTGACTTTTTGGAGTTGGAGTGCAAATATGAAATTTGCACAAAAATATGAATGTTATGCAAAATTCAAAACATTGTTGAAAAAAGCAAAGGAAGGTTTCTCACCCATCATCTGTACTTCTTAGCAAGTTTTCCCGACGTTTCGTCCTCAACCTGGGGACTTCTTCAGGGAATGAATTCTCGGACCGCGCGTTGGAGATTTATAACCTATGGGTGTGGTAAGCCACACCCTAACCCTGATACTAACTCGTAAACAATCTCAGGTCTGCTTGATGTAGAAGGGAGCAGGTCTAACGACCCTGCTGAGGCTAACGA